GGGGGGGGGGGGGGGGGGGTAGGAGGAGGAATGGGCCCCATGTTGGCGACTCGTGTCAACGTGCCTTGTTTCCGTGAGTTTCGCCCTCAAAATGGGGTCACGCTCTTTGTTTTCCTGCCACGTTGCAAGAGAGCGTTTACCGTGCGCGGCAGCATCTGTGGCACGACCGCTCTAGAGCTCTGAACCAGCCTTGCGCCATGTCTTTCGGCGTGCTTGCTTCAGAGGTGGCTAGACGTAGGACGTGATGCGAGCAAGAGAGTTGGATCAATTTCAGGGAGAAGGCGCGTTGCCACTATCGGCAGATGATGGACGGACGAAAATTAGCGGATGAACGGAGGCGATGTTGGTCGTCATCGGTAGCAGCGAGTCGCGCGTCTTTGGGCTAGGAGAGAGAGAGAGCCCCGCGACCCACATGATGAGCTTGTGCATCAGGAAGTAGCCTCTCCGCGCCCTCCAGTCATGACAGCAAACGGTTGCGACACGCCGCACGCATCGCTGCCTTGCTGTCATGCCATATTTTTCGTGTGCGCCTCGAGACGAGATGTAGTAGCAGCATGACGCAGACCAGCGGCGCACCCGTCCGATCGAGCTGAAATTGTTTGTTTCGTTTGTTTTTTGTCGAGCTTTTTTTTGTTGCAGCGGGTGCGTGATGTGTGCGTGCGCGAGAATACACCCAGGGACGCTTTCTTGTCCGTTCCTCATTTTCTCGCTGACGCTCTTGGATAGTGTGTGTGGACGGGGTTGCTATTTAACTCGGGTGGGTGGGAGCAACCCACATGCTTTGGTGGGGCACCAGTGTTTGTCTGGTTTGGAAGCAAGTGCAAAGAAACAGGGGGGGACAGGACGTTCAGGTTGTTGGGCGTAGATGCAAGTCAAGGTGCGGAAGGCGTGTGGGGAGGCTCCGCGACGATCCGCTTCTCTCTTTGCTGCTCCCATGATGCACGGGTAACAGAACCGATGCGATGTGTTGATGTGCCATATGGTATAAGTTCTAGCCGTATTTTTGTCGGGGTAAAGGGGAAGTCGGGCAGTAGTGGTGCAATCACAGGTAGCTTAAGAATTTGATTGTGATTTAGAAAAAGTAGTGGATAGGAACAGTAACTTATTTGGGGGGAATGCCAGGAAACTTCCGAGAAGGATCCGAGGAAATGCGACTGATCGATATGCGAAATGGGGGCCAAGACATGGAAAGTGATTCGATGACAGTGGAAGCGGAGGAGTTTGTTGAGCAAAGAGCAATAAAATACAGGGAGTGGGTGCTTCTCTGTGTCCGTTGTTGTCGGAAGTGCTTCTCCTCTTCCTCTTCCACCTTCTCCTCCTGCTCTTCTTGCTGTTGTATTTTGTTCTTGTTGTTGTTGTTATTGTTGTTGTGTTGTGTGGGTGTAGCTGCTGAGTATGTTTTAGCCTTACCGCATAGGAGGATACTAGTCTAGTCGTACGGCGTATTTATCGGCTTCTTTCGTTGAGTGAAATTGGTTGGAGATCCACGCGATGTGGTAGTGTGTGTACTGCAAGTCTGGTTCTCCGACTGACCCACAGGTGCGATCAGATGGAGAGAGAGCTGGTCACCATTTGTGACTGGGGAGGGGAGGGACGTATCCGTGACTTCCACCACACACTTCGGCAGATTGTCGTTTGGGTGGCCGCAAAAAATACAACAGCCCCCCCCCGCCCGCAAAAAGGACAGTGGGTTTGTTCGTTTTCGATGCGTAACCTTTTACAAGCGTGATTGTAGACTAATCGAATAACAACACGAAAGTTTGCACACGACGTCGGTGCTTGGATGTTTTAACTACGCTTGCTTTGGAGTTGCAGCAGTGCGTGGCCTTTGGAGCGAGAGCAAGAAGAGAAGAAGGAATTGGGCGTTAGGTTGTACGATAAGGCGGTGCAACCAAAAGCCACCGGATCACTCGGTGCTCGTGTGCGCGAAATGCTGGACGACCTCCTGTTCGCAGCGCCTTTTACACCCGTGTGTGTGTGTTGTCCTGTTCTTGATAGTTACCGCTACAGAGTTGTACCGGCTTGGCACATGGTTGCTTGCGCAGGTTTCATCCCGCATGTCGCGGGCGTGTCCGGCGGGAGGGAGACCTAGCTAGGTATTACAACTGCGTGTTGGATATTTTCCCTCATTATTTTGCACGTCAACAAATATTCAGTAGATCTGCTAACTAGTTGAGACTTCATTTTGCAATGTATTTCTCCGTAGACCAAGGAGAAGCGGGGTTGAGGGGCAAAAAGTGCCGGGGGGGGGGGGGGGTCCACTTTGGGGGGTCGGGAAAATCCCAAGCCAATTAACCCCCCTGGAAAAAAAACCTCCAATCCCCAAAGAAAAAACCCCCCCCTTGGTTTGCCAACCAACCTTTCCCCCCCTCCCTGTGCCTGCGTGTAAAAAAAATTTGGATTTTTAAGAAGCCCTTTTTATGCCAATAATGTGCCCCATTTTTCCCTTTACCCCCTTTAAAACCGAAAATTCATCCTTTCCCCTTAAAAATTTGAAAAAAATTTTTTGGAAAAAAAAACGGGAAATTGGGAG